TAAGAAGGCACCGGAGTTGATAGTCAAGCTAGAGAAGATCTTTCCACCAGGCTTCTTTACACTGATGACACATCTCATTCTGCACCTCGCGAACGAGGTATTGTTGGGGGGGCCTGTGCAGAATCGCTGGTAGTACGGCCCTGAGAGACAGAACAAGCATCTCCGACAGAAATGTGGAAACAAAGCTAAGATTAAAGCTTCCATAGTTGAGGCAGTTATCCTAGAGGAGGTGTCAGACCTCAGGACATCATACTATCCAGACCACGTTCCTCATCTGCATAACAAGGTGCCTCGATACAATATAGAAGAGCCCAAGTATCAACCTAGGCTCCATCTATTCAACGCGCAAGGTGGGAGGGCTGGGGCCTCGAAACCTTATAACATGCCATGACAAGAGTGGGAGGACCTCATGTTCTATATCTTGCACAACATCCAGGAAGTTGAGGAAGTGTGGATGAGGTAATACCACTACACCATTCCTTTATGTCTTCCACATCATCATGTTCTATGTTCACTTAGTCCCGTTCTAACACCGCTTTTCTTTTTTCTAGTGATTTCATTCAAGAGGAATGGACGGGAATGAATCCTCCTACTGAGGCGGAGGCACTTACTCTTCTCTGTCATGGAAACCCTGGACGTAAAATTTTTGTTGCTTGGTTCATGGATAAAGTAATTTTCCACACTCCCCTATTAAATACCTAGTTCAACATTTATTAGTTAACTAATGCACGCAACAATTTCAATTACACTTGTAGGGAAAAGATCCGAACATATCTATGGATGATGAATTGAGATGGGTTTCCATGGATTTTGACCCTACCGTCATGACATGTAAAAGGTATGATGTGAATGGGTATCGCTTCCATACAGAGGAGCACCAGAACAGCCAGCCTGATCCCAAAACTATAAATACCGGAGTGTACACCCCCAGTCAAAATTCAGTAGACTACTACGGAAGGGTACAAAATATATACGAGATTAAATTCCACCAGGGGCGCGAGACCCTAAGTCTGCCTGTGTTCAAATGTCGATGGTTCGATCCGCGGGAGGGGGTAAAACATACGCCTTCCATTGGTTTGGTCGAAGTTAAACCATCAACCGTCTATGCCGGAGCCGATCTCTTCATTGCGGCTGCCCAAGCTACACAAGTATATTATCTGCCTTACCCATGCCAGAAAGAGTACCTAAAGGGTTGGGAAGTTATGTTCAAGGTGTCGCCACATGGTAAGCTACCGAACCCGAATGAAGACGATTACTACAACGTTAACCCCATGACATACGAGGGAGTGTTCTATCAAGAGCAACCTGATGATGATGATGATGTGGTTAGAAATGATGACGCTAGACCATTGGGTGATGATGATGTGGATCCAAACGACGATGATGCACGGAATGATGGTGAGACCATTGTCAATGAAAATGACATACTTATGCTAGAAAAGTTAAACGAAGACGCTGACGACGAGGAAGAGCATCCACCTCCGTCAGACAACGAAGATGATATGATTGATAGTGATGATGAGACGGACCGAGAAAGAGATTACAACAGTGATGATTCATATGGTTTCTAGCAGATGTACGTTTCAAGTCTTTTTTCTATAGTTTAGGAATATGCCTTTTTATGCATTTTTATTAGTGTGTTTATTATCATGTCTTTTCCTTCATTTTATTAATTTACTAATTGCTTATTCTCTTTTCAATGCAGGTTCGTGGAACATGGGCAAGGGGAAGGCCGACGGCGTGGGTTTCCTACGCAAGGTCGTCGGCCTGCCTAGTCGGAGTGGTCGAGCACGCAATCCTCCCCCCCAGCTACTTGACGATGACTCCTCACAGGGAGGTCGAGGGAGAGGTGCCCCTAGAGGAGGAGAGGGCGGGGGGAGAGCCTCCAGAGGGCGAGGTGGTGGGGAGAGAGCCACTACAGGGGGTCGCGGCTAGAAAGAGCGCACCCTCACCGACTTAGGGGTGTTGTCTTCAAGGCCCTCCTCTAGTGAGGTACCCTCCTCTGGCGAGGAGGAGGAGGAGGAGGAGGACGAGGCAGGCGAGGAGGAGGAGGTTCGGGATGGGGCCGAGGAGGAGGTGGAGGAGGAGGACGAGGAGGAGGAGGAGGTTGGGGCGGGGGAGGCAGGCGAGGAGGAGGGTGGTGGCGGGGATGATGGTGGTGACAGGGAGGGGGTTGACAATAGGGGGTGGCTGCGTGGTAACGCAAAGCTACCAAAGCAGGTTCCTGCTACTGAGGAGCAGAAGTGGCTCATTGAGCCCACGGGGAAAGAGTAAGTGCCACTTTATAATAATTTCATTATTTTGCTTGTCACATGCTCATTCCGGTTGTTATTTATTTTTCTTGTCACATGCTAATAGTTCATTCTTTTGCAGCAACTGGATATATTCTAAAGGGGTCCGTATTCCCAACGGACTCATCATCGTCTTGCTGAAGTTACACTGGCCGGGGTTGTACTGTCCGGATCCAGTTAGGCACCCGGACCATCGGGTCTTGGCCACGAGCTGGGAGCACTGGGAAGCGGCCCTCCACGCGGACCATGGGACCCATGCCAAGGCCGTGATCACCACTTTCTAGGTGAGTTCTCTTCAGAAGCACAAGTCCATTCTAGTTTCATGAATGATTTAACTCATGGCTTCTTCCATTCTTGTTTCATGCATGATTGTAGAAATTTTATCGAGTTCTTCTGGAGCACAGGGCCAGAGCAGACCAGATCGTGCTGCACCAATGCAAGAAGAAGGCCCGCCAGATGCAGTATGAGGTGCGTTATGTGGCCATCTCGACATACCATCACGACTATCTTGGTGTGAAGATGACCAAGGAAGACGCGCGGAGGATGGGCATTACCTTGGAGAGGGACGAGTTCTTGAAGGTAAGTATAAAAGATTTTTCATTATGCTTTCATTACCTTGTGGTACATTTCACCGTTTCGTGTTGACATGCCATTATGCTTTCATTATGTAGGTGTGTCCAAATTGGTGTTATGGAAAAGACGAGTCCTGGGTGGCATTGGTGGATCTTTGGTGTGATGAGGCTGGAGCCCGGGCGGCTATGAGAGTCAAAAACAAGGCTAACCGAGGGAAGGAGGGAGTACATGCTTAGGGAAACCGAAACCACTATCTCCACAAGGCAGTTAATGTATGACTAACCCCATTAAACATTCTTCTTCTTCTATTTACCATCACTTTTTTATGTATGACTAACCTCTGTTTGGTGGTGCAGGAGGAGAAAATGAAGCGGCCGCTCTCACACATGCAGGCGTGGGAGATCGCCCATACGCGGAAGGACTCCAAGCCTGGCGAGCCCAAGTACTACGGCAAGAAGACCGTGGGGAGGAAGAAGGCCTACTCCGAAGCGTATCTGAAGTTACATCCTGACACACCTGACCCCATTGCGGCGAATCTGGACGAGAGGGCGGTGGTGAGCATGGGGCCCAAGGAGCACGGTCGGGAGGCGGTTCTCGATGCTGTGATCACTCCTACTATCTCCTACACACAGCTCCGTCGGATCGACCCGATCCTGAGCCAGCGCACGAGCCAGCCAGTGACCAGTGCACAGTCCCTCTTTCAGGAGCAACAATCTGTAAGTATTTTCCCTCTTATCTTCATTGCTCACTTTATTTTCCGCATTTAGTAGTTTTATGAGTTCCATCATGTCATACCGTAGGCCTACCTGGAGTACACACGCCAGGAGACCATGGCGTGGCATGAGAGGCTTTATGAACACCAAGTGCAGAGGGATCGCCAGATGCATTAGGCTTTTCAGGATATGGCGGCCGGCAGGTGTCCTCAGTTGCAGCCAGCACAATGTCCTCCAGCAAAACCAGTGCTGCTGACCTTTGAGGAGTTTGCAGCACAGAACGCTGGCCCCTCGCCGGTTAGTTCATCCCCAATCTATTCACCCAAAGCATGTCATGCCTTTCAACACAGTCATATATCCCGTTAATATGTCTTTTCAACATCCAGGGAATAGGTGGATCTACCGTTGGCGGTGGTCTTCGCAGCACTCCCGAGACACGGAGCCCGACCACTCCGATCCACGGAGACGGAGGCGGAGGCGGTCTTGGCGGTAGCGCTGCCGCTAGCAGTGACGACCTGGGCTTCGGCAGTCTTGGCGGTGACGACCTCCGCGATGCTCGACGTCCTGGCGCTTAAGCCTTTCGGTTACTTGTGTGCTTATGCTTATGTTTCTTTAGATGACTTGTGTGTGGTGATGATCCTTTAGATGACTTGTGTGCTTCTCTATATGCTTATGCTTATGATTGTGATGATGCTTATGCATATATTGTTGTGATGGTACCGGATAATATCCTGATGTGTTCTATATGTCTATTTCCATCATATATATCTGCTGATATGTGTTGTATATTTGAATTGAATCGATCTGAAAACAAACAGGAAAAACAAAAAAAACAAATGCAAACTATGCCGATGGCTAGGCCGTCGGCATAGGGCTGGCGTGAGCTACCAGTTGCCGACACATGGCGTCTATGCCGACGGCCTAGCCGTCGGCACAGTTTTTAAAAACGGGGCCTAGCCGTCGGCTTAGTTTAAAAACTGTGCTGAAGGCTAGGCCGTCGGCATAGACGCCACGTGTCAGCAACTGGTAGCTCTTGAGGAAGGGATATGCCGACGGCTAGGCCGTTGGCATATCCCTGGCCCATGAGTAACGGCTAGTCCCCACGGGGCATACCTATGCCGACGGCCTAGCCGTCGTCATAGGTGTGCCACGTGGCGACCAGACATTGGTCACACTTGACGCCGACCGCCGTTAGATGTGAACGTTGCCGACGGCCAGAGCCGTCGGCATAGATGTACGGCCCCCGTCGGGAAAGCTACTATGCCGACGGCCTTTCTATGCCGACGGCCTTCCGGGCTACGTCGACGTATATGTTGCCGACGACCCTATGCCGACGAGGGCCGTCGGCATAGGTCTGTCCCGACGGGATTCAGGGATATGCCGACGGCCCTGGCCGTCGGCATAGGGGGCGATTCTGGTAGTGATGGGGCTGATGTGGTCTGTGGTGCCGTGCATGGAGTTGGCGACGATGATCCGGTTGGCCCGCTCCGTGGGGTGGAAGGCGTCCCAGTAGGCGTACACGTCCCTGTTGGCGCACACGTTGGACGCCGGCGTGCACAGCCCGATCCCGTTGTACGGGCCCTGCCCACAGCACGCGATCTTGGCCGTCGCGAACCCTGCAATCGTTCATGCATCGCGCCACAAGCTTATACTGTAATTTTCTTTCCTTCGCTGATCTGCATGCCAGCATGAAAGAATTTCGTTTGATAGTGCACGTACCGTACTGCTGCGGGTTGAACATGAAGTCGAAGCTGACCCTGTTGGTGTTGGCGGCGATGAAGACGTCGTCGTGGCCCACCTCGCCGTTGAGCTCCGTCAGCATCCGCTCCAGCTGCGGGTTGAAGAGATCGGCGGCCCGCGTGAGGTCCGGCGCGCAGGACCCGTCGAGGCTGTGGAGGGCCAGCTCCGCCGGCACGCACCAGATCATCCCCGTCCCCGTCACGATCACGCGACGGGCGCCCAGCTCGTACAGCCGCTGCACTCCATTAATTGTTTCCACACAGTCAGTTACTTTCGGTGTAAGACAAGACAAGCAGCTCCTACTGCGTAGAAGAAAGTGCATGCATATGCATGGCCCCCCGACCTAAGCAAGGCTCTATCTACTCCCTACACGGTAGTAGCTGCAACGAAGCATGCATGCATGGATAGTACGACTACACACGAAGACGAAGGTGGTATACACGAAGGTGCGTGCACGATCGAGCGCCACAGTTGTTGAAGTAAATTGCACAGAAATATCATAATTAGGGCATTAGAAGCAAATTGGTATCAAAATTGGTAATTTTTTCTTGTCAGTACCGACTTTAAAGCGAGGCATTGCAAAAGAGGCTAAAAATGCTGTTTATACGTATTGACAGGGAAACTGACGGGTTGAGCCCGCCCGTCAGGTGCCAAGCTGGGCAGTTGGCGCGTGCCCGCGCGCTGACTCGGACAAGGCTGGGTCGCACCGTTTAGTCGCTGTCGCCTCCGTCTCCTTCTCCGTCGTGCCCGTCGCCACCGCCGACCGCCCGCGCCGCCGCGAGCTCGAGGACTGCTCCTCCACGACTGCGGCCCCGCTCCAACCCCACACGCGCACCTTCCCGACCCCCGACCCGCCCCGCCGCGCCCGCCTCGCGCTCTCCTCCATCCGCTTCCGCCGCGGCGCCAACTCCTCCTCCGCCTCCTCCATCGACGCCGCAGCCTCCTCCGCCTTCGCTGCCGCGGCTACCCTCCTGCCCACCTCCTCTCCCCTTGCGCCGCCGCCTCCTCCTCATCCCCTTCCCCCTCTCCGTCAGCCCCCGCGTCCTTCCCCGCTACCGTCTCGGCGCCTCGCGCTGGCGCCCCGGTGGCCGTGGAGCTGCCGTGCGGGATGGTCGTCGGCTCGTGCGTCACGGTGGTGGGCGTCCTTTGATTCCACAGTTCAATCTCGCTTTTTCCTCGTCGTTCGCTAAGAAATTTATTAGTAGCATCTCAATTTTGAAGCTATTTGTTTGTTAAAACCAACACAAATTTCATCAGTGAATTTGCTTGCTATTGGTTCCAATTTCAGTTGATGGCCTCACCTCTGCCGACTGAACCAGTCAAGTGTGAGAAATGGACTCGGGAATGTCTGCACGGTGGAAGGCCTCACCTCTGCCGACTGAACATGTCGAGCTGTTCATTGGCATCCTTTCTGCAGCCAACAATTTCGCCGAGTGGATGGCCGGCCGCAAGTCATGGATGATTGCTACAAGGAAATCATCTAACAGTGTTGGCTGGTTCTTCGTCGCTCTGGTAAGTACCTGTGGATGATTGCTACAACTTTGAAGTAATATTGCTGACTTTTGCAAACTCTAATAGAAGACTTCTTTACAGAATGAGAAAAAAAGGTCAACGAGGAGCTGAAGAAGGAGGCAGAGTTCTTTGGTGACATTGTTCTGGTCCCTTTCATGGATAGCTATGACCTCGTTGTTCAAGATGTAAGACGTGAGCATGGGCATGTGGGTTCAGAAGTTCGACAGGACTCGCCAGCTGGTGGAGTATTCCCACGACGTCAAGTTCTTCCAGGCCGGCTGCTTCGACGGCTACTACACCACGCACTACCAGTCGCCGCAGCACATGATCTGCCTCTGGAGGAAGCAGCAGTCCGGGAGCGCTCAATGCTGCAACCCCAGATGACAATGAGACTGCTTGGTAGTTGAAAAGCAGCACCCGGCTCTCTGGAGAATCAAACAGCAAGGATGAGTTCGAGTTCGATCTTGATTTGGAGGCCCTCTGGATAGTTAGCTTGCATAATTCGCTCATTATTTTGGTCAGTGGCTGGTTAATTCAGCTGCTGACTCTGACACTAGCTAGATGCTGTCACCATGTACATGTGTCAATTCTTTTTGACCTAGGAACTAACAGCTCTGCTGATCTCACTTGTATACCGGTTGTTCTTATATATACATATTAGATGTTTCGAGTAAATCATTTTGTGGGTTCAGACCTGCTCCTGTGCATTGTCAATTCCACCTGCAAGTCTAATTGTTCTAAGAAGTATGCATGTCGCAGATGCCGGTTGAAGCTCCACGACATGCTCGTGCCACGCAGCGCTGCGGCAGCGCCCACTGCACGCGGTAGCAGGTGTTGAGCTCAATGACGGGGCGGCCGCTGAAGTCGCCTCTGATCCTGGGCGGCTCCTCCCCCTGGACGACCTTGGTGCCGAGCAGCTCCACCATGAACTGCGACGACGCCGCCCCGTCCTTCCTCGTTGGCCGGGCCACCACCGTGACGTGCGAGCCGACGGCCATCCCGCACGGCAGCTCCACGGCCACCGGGGCGCCAGCACGGGACGCCGAGACGGTGTCGGGGCAGGACGCGGGAGCTAACGGGGAGGGGGAAGGGGATGAGGAGGAGGCGGCGGTGGAAGGGGAGAGGAGGTGGGCTGGAGGGTAGCCGCGGTGGCGAAGGCGGAGGAGGAGTTGGCGCGGCGGCTGAAGCGGATGGAGGAGCGCGAGGCGGGCGCGGTGGGGTGGGTCGGGGGTCGGGAAGGTGCGCGTGTGGGGCCGGAGCGGGGCCGCAGTCGTGGAGGAGCGGACCTCGAGCTCGCGGCGGCACAGCCGGACGGCGGTGGCGACAGGGACGGAGACGGAGGCTCGGGCTGCGACTAAACGGTGCGACCCAACCTTGTCCGAGTCAGCGCGCGGGCACGCGTCAACTGGCCTGCGTGGCACCTAACGGGCGGGCCCAACCGGTCAGTTTCACTGTCAATACGTATAAAAAGCATTTTTAGCCTCTTTTGCAACGTCTCGCCTTAAAGTTAGTACTGACACATAAAAATTATCAATTTTGATACTAATCTGATTTCAATGCCTCAGTTGTGATATTTTTGTGTAATTTGCTCAAGTTGTTGCATGTGGGAGGAGTGAATGCATCGTGAGAACCTCTCGATGGGTGGTACTACAACAGTAAAAAACAGTACTGAAACGCGGGCCTGCTGCTCTTTTACTTCGGAGAGAGACGCATGACAGATGCGTATGGCGTGGTGCGCGCGTGTGTACCGTGTACTCGACTGCTGTCCACTGGTTGGCCTATATTGATTGCATCGGCAGTGTGGTTGGTGGCAACATCCAACATGCATGCATTGCATCCAGACGATGCCGAGACAGACGTACTACTCGTTGGGAAACTCGGTAGTGCCAAATGTTTAGGCCTACTGTCACTGGAGCCTATGAATGAATCATAAATGTCAAGGTGCACCAATGCAAAGAGATCTGGTACGAACCAGCCTTCATTTGCTTTTCAATGTAGGAGTACTCTGTGGCTCTACGTAATGTAAAATATTGCGGTACTTTGGAGATACTATGGGTAAAACATTTCCTATCGCTGTTTAACAGTGTTGTTTAAGTGTTCCCATAGCTCTTATTAATTTGATGATGCCTAGTCTCTAGCTGTGCATTATGAAATAGGAGTACCACTGTTGGCTGAAACTCATCTCAAAATGAGAATGTACCAATGGATGCGAGTGATCTTGCCAACAGTACTGGTGGGCTTAAGTGCGAGCTAAGAGCAACTCTAATGGAGCGCCCCATTTTGTCCCCCGCGTCGTTTGGGTCGGCGAGGACAAAAGTGACGGCACAACGCACCGACCCAAACGGACGCGCGTCTGTTTTTCGTCCGCGGGCGACCCATTCCAGGCCTAATTCTGAGCCGGATTTGCGCCGGCGCGGACATGAGACGGACGCGCGCGCCTACTCCTCTTCTCGGGCCCGTCTGTCGGTGGCATCCACCACCATTTTCCCCAAAAACGCTCCCGCCCGCGCGCGCCCCCGCCCCCCAACCAGCCATGGAGGACGCCATCGACCTCGACCTCGACGCCGCCGCCGGCCTCGCCTCCCTCGCCTCGTCCGGCGCCGTCGCCCCCTCTGGGAAAGGCAAGCCTCGTGTCCCGCGAAAGACCGCCGCGGCGGCCAAGCCGAAGAAGGCGCCGACGCCCGAACAACGGATAAGGGAGTCGGCCAAGAGGAAGGGTCGGAGGCACGCCACAGACGCGAGGGATGAGGCTGCTGCGCAGGCCGCCGCTGTCGCCGCCGCGCAACAGGAGTTCACCAATGACGCCCACGTCGCCGCGGCAATGAGGGAGGCGCTCTACATGCTTGGGGTAAACCCTAGCCAGCACGGCCTCGTCCAAGCCGTCGTCGCCGCGGCCAGCACCGGCCCCGACTCACCCCGCGCATCGGCTTGCAACCCGGTCCCCGGCTTCCACGTCTACCCGCGGGCCTCCCGCCTCTCTGGGGAGTGCTCACCCCGCGCATCGGCTTGCAACCCGGTCGCGCCTTCCACGCCCGCGCCCGCGCCCATCGACCTCAATGCCAACCCGGTGGTTGGTGACTCGTCGTCTGGCGGCATGAGGAAACGCGCGCGACAGGCGCTGGCCGGCGGTCTCCCGGACGCCCGTAACCTGTTCGAGGAAATGCCGTCTGCCATCGACGAGGACTACATGCAACACCTCATCTTCGAGGGTCGTGCGCTGGGCGCTGGCTACAATCCCGAGGAGACGCAAAGCCAGGACGGCCGTGGGGCGTTCACGCCGGCCGCTGGCTATGATCCCGATTAGGCGGCCTTCATGCATGATCAAGTCGGCATTGACCTGGACGGCTTTCCCCTCGACCACGAGTTTCCAGACGACTATGGGCTAGAGGAAGAGGATGAGTGCGACATCGAAGTGGAGCCTTTGTTCAAGGACGAGCTCGCCAACCAAACCGCCGGTCCTAAGCCGAAGCGCAAGAGCAAGCGCACGAAGGCGTACACAGCTGCCGAGGACAAACTTCTTTGCGAGTGTTGGCGAGACATTGGACATGACCCAAAGACGGGCGCCGAGCAAAAGCATTCAACCTTTTGGACTCGTGTGCACCGCGAGTTTCATGAACGCAAGAAGTTTCCACCTTACCAATTTGTGAGCACGCGCGAGTGGGTCTCCATTTCCAAGCGGTGGAGGGTGATCCATCAAGAGTGCAACAAGTTTTGCGCCACCCTTGAGAGTGTCAAGGCCCGCCCCGTGAGCGGCATCGGCGTGCAAGAGATGGTATGATAGCAAGCAAGCCGCCCTCTTTTGTGCCATCAAGATCATCCTTTTACGTCTTCATTTTGCATGGAAACATTTTGTAGGCATTTCAAGCTTTGGAGGCATTCAAGGTTCAACACAATGGCAAGTGTTTCAACCTCTCCCATTGCTATCGGGTCATCAGGGACGAAGAGAAGTTCAAGGCATAATATGCCGCGCTCAAGGCACGTGGGGGGAAGGGCGCCGTGGAGGATGTTGGGGAGGGCGAGCCGGCACGGCCGCGGGGGAAGACCAACTCCAAGAAGGAGGACAAGCGAGATGCGGCCACCAACGCCTTGATCGCAAGCGTGGACGGCATGATGAATAAGAAGGACTCAAGAGAGGAGGAGCGCCGGCGTTTCAAGGCGGAGCAAATGGATGCTTTCATGGAGATCCAAATGAGGAGGCTTGATCTTGACGCCGAGAAGCAAGCCAAGATGTTCGAGCTCGAGGTGGAGAAGCAAGCCAAGATGCTAGAGATCGAGGCCGCTAACGCCAAGACAAAGGCGAAAGAAGTGGCTCTTGCAAGCATGATGACCGGGGTGGAGATCATGAAGGTGAATCTCAACGCCTTGTCGCCAAGGAAGAGGCCGTGGTTCGAGAAGATGCAGGCCGACATGCTCAAGTTCAACGACGAGTGATCTATGGCGTTGAGGGGCCATCTTTTTTGTATGCCGACAGGTGTGCCAGCATGACCACGGGAGCCGCGATGGCGTGGTCGAACTCAAGTCCCATCATTTTTTGTGTGTTGGCATGTGTGCCGGCCGGCTGGTGAGTGCACCAGCATGAACTGTGGTGCTTTCTAAGGCCGGTATGCCGGCGCTGGTATGGTGCCGGCATGAGACATGAACGCTGGCATAATCAGCCGCAGGCCTTTTTTATTTAAAAGTTGAATGCAGACATGAAATGGGTCGGCGCGTTGGGCACATTGCCGACCTAAATGCAAAACTGGACGGGCGGCGGGTGGGCGGCCTACCCAAACGGACAAAAAGCGGACAAATGCGCCGTCCGTTGGGGTCGCCCCATTGAAGTTGCTCTAATAAATTCCTTACTGTATTTGGACTCAGCCTTCACAGCGCAGATGTCTCACGCAGTTACTGAAACTGGCTATCAACCATGAATAAAATCGTCTCTCGTTTCATAGGCTAACTCTTGCCAGAAACAGTGTGCTTTCTGAATTCGGTGTGCAGAACACTACACGCCGTGTCAGTTTATTGTCTGCTGAACATACCGCCCAAAAATGACTCCACTACAAACAAATGTTCACCGATGCTACCGCCCATCTCTCTCACCATTATATCAGGCAGGCAGGCGGGCAGCCTACACCGGCTTTGCCACATCCACGGGCTATTACGGGGTTTTATTGCTACATCCACGGGCTATTACGGGGTTTTACAAGGCTTGGCGCCCACCCCCACCAGTTAAAATCAAGGGGGCGATTAATTAGGAGAAGAAGGTTAGTTAGCCTAATTAAAGAAGGACAAGTCAGCTGGTCCGTAAAAGCCCATCGAGATAGTCCGTGTATCTAGCATTTTTGCAGCCTACACACTCATCTCTTTCCACTACTGTTCTAGACAGCGTGCGGCATGCAGCAAGCATTTCGTTTCCCTGTCTAATTTTGGGAATTTTAGGCCTACCACTCTTGTACACTATACTGACAAAATAGAAGACAGAAAACGTCCTGAGAAATTTTCCCCATGTTTTTTGTAAAACTAATCATGTTTGTTGGATTATGCTGAAGCATGTTTTAGTACATCTTGGGCATTTTGGATGGAGTGCACTTTCTTTTTTACAAATGCAAGTATGTTTTGGAGCAGAAAATTTGGGAATTAATTAGTGGTAAGTAAGTGAAGGTAAATTATTACCACGAGGACTTTCTTGTACTTGAGATGATGAAGGGGATGTAGTCGTGGATCTCGAACTGCTGGGACCTCGCGGAAAAGGGCACCAGGTAAAAGTCGTTGCCGCCGAGCGTGATGAGCACCAGCGCCTGGCTCACGCGCTCTCTCGCCGCTTCCTCGCCGATGTACGCCGCCAGCCTCCGCTGGTAGTCTTGGAAGTTCTGCAGCTGCTGCGCCATCCTGATGATGTTCACCTGCACGCACACGTACAACATTGTCATGTCCGCTGCATTATTATAGAATACCCACATGATTCAAGCGTGCGTGCGTGGGAGCTTACGAATTGCACGCCTGTGTCGTTGAGAATGCCGACGCCGGCGGACGCGAAGTTGGCGCCCACGAGCAGGTTCTCGCCGCGCATGTAGGGGCTCAGGTACGGCAGCGCGGGCTCTGCCCCGAGGTACTCGCCTGATCAAGCATGTGGCAATGTCAAGAACTGCGCGATCTCTCGGCAAATTAAAGAGAGAGAGGCATGTCGTGATTAGCTGAGCTAGATGAGAGGAGGCACGGTGGAGACGTACTGATGATGTCGGGGATGTTGAGGCCGTTGGAGAACCTCCCCGTGGGCATGTGCGTGGGGAAGTCGATGCCGTAGGGCGGCGCCTCGGCGCGCGCCGTCGTCATGAGGTAGTTGTTGTTGCCGTTGTCGACGAGGGAATCGCCGAAGACGAAGAAGGCGCGCGCCGCGGATGCCGTCGGCGCCGAGGCCCCCAGGAGGAGGAGCAGCGCCGCGACGACGAGGACCGGGGAGCAAGCGTCCATAGCTAAGTGGCCAGAGAGGACTTGGGCGCGACGACTCGTGCCGCACGAGTAGTAACTATGGAACTGGCGAGCTCTAGTGGGTGGCTGCGACTTGGCAAGGCGCGTACGTCGTGGACACGAAAGGTGGCGAACGCCCTCTGCGTCCTCTTATAGCGGCCAGAGGCCAGACTGAACTCTCACTAGCTGTCTCGCACCCTCACTCACTCAGAGCGCGGAGTTAAGGAGGGTAAGTGGGTTAGCGGGCGGGAGACAGCTAGCGGAGGAGGGAGGAAGGAACTAGGACCACCCCAAACGGATCGCGTTAAATGAGGCGAAAGCGGGTCGATGGATGGCACGGTAGTTGGGGGGCGCTAAATGCGGCGCCTTGGCGTGCGACGCCGGCCACTTGGCTCTCGCTCTCGGCCGTCGGCTCCTGCCTCGGACCACGTGCCGGCCCGCACGCGATGGGGACGCTGGCTGCCTATTATTGGCCGGAGGCTGCAGACAGATCGGCTCATCTGATCGACCTGAGAGCCGGCACGGCGCCGGAATGGAAGGCCTCGTCGTCGCGGTCTTTCAGAAAATTCAGACGGCGCAGGTCCGGCCGGGGTGTCAACCTCGTTGTTTTTCTTTTCTTTTCTCGTTTCTCCAACTCATTTGCACCCATGCACGGATCATACGATGATGTTCATGTGATGAGAGTGACATCGGATTCTGTTTGGAGAGACTCGATCGGGCTCTTGCCAGTTTAATTGTCTGATGACGATCTATGTGTGCTCCAGTGCAGTTGTTATTACTTCTAAACGGGGATATGGAGCACGAACAGCTTAATCTCAGTACTGCCGGCAAGAAAACGACTTGTACTACTAAGTATGAGTGCTCCGCAATTAAACCGGTGCTAGGGTATCATCGACGCGGATCATCAAAACACCTGTAAATGTCTATTAGGTTGTCTCTGGACACTTTTAGCCATCTAAAGCAAATAATCAAATCAGGCCTGACCGGTCTGGATGTCCGAAAATCCCATAGACCGACCCTAAACCGGGGGAGCTCCGGGGAGTCCGGACATCCATCACGACGGACTCCAACTCCCTACACCCACCCCCAAAACCCACCTAGGGCTCCAGTATTTTCACAAATCCTGCCCTCCTCGTCCACTATGCCGCTCCACTCACGCACCTGCTCGTCTTGGCCTACACAACCAGTGCACTTCGTCGGATCCGACCGCTACCCAGGTACCTGCGCCCTTGTCGCCTTGTCGGCGGCATCCATGGCGGACAATGCGCACGGCAACTATTCATTCAAATGTGACACTGAAATTTCTTGACGTTCTTGTTTTTTCTTTTACTTTGAAGCAAACATGATGGACTCCGATGAGGAGTTGAAAGGGGTCGATGCATGGACCGGGAGAGACACTATGGTTGGGCGCTAAATGGGGCGCCTTGGCGTGCAACACTGGCCACTTGGCTCTCGCTCTCGGGCGTCGGCACCTGTCTTGAATCACGTGCCATCACGCGTACCGGCCCTAACGCCGCCTATTATTGCGAGGCTACAGATAGAGCGGCTCATGCTCATCTGTTCGGCTTGAGATCGAGTAGGCACAACGGCAGAATGGAGCTCTCCCGAAAGAGAAGGCCTCATCGTCATGGCCTTTTAGAAATTCGGACGACGCACGTTAGTGAGACCTGCATGCCTGCTTGTTTTTTTTTTCTCTCTCTCTCTCTCTCGTTTCTCTAGCTACTTCAAGAGTTTTGTGACTTCTAGCTCAGTTTCAAGAGATCAAGGAACTACTAGCTTAGTTTCAAGATTCTAGAGTTGTCTGGGTGCATTGTTCCACGAATAGGGTTGCACATAGCTTAGCTAGGGAGGGTTGATGTAAGTCGTTGTGTAAAACTTGGTTCCATGTGGCGCCGGAGTGTGTTAGCTCAGACATTGCCGTTGAAGGGGCTATGAACACTGAATAAATAAGCAACATTTCCCTAAAAAAGAGTTTTGCCACTTGCCACGTATTTAGCTACAAAAACATTCGCACCCATTTTTCAAAGAAATGAGGCTTGAAATGAGCTCGACTTTGAATTAACAAACCATCAACTGGTCAGGATTACAAAAAACGAGCACAACGCCCAACTCCACTTACAAAGAAAAAAAACATAAATATATCGAAAGATACAAGAATCCTGGAAACACATCTCACAACACAACCCAAACTTCAGGCACCTAAACTAGAGGAGATGAAGCGCCGCATTAAGAAGGGGTTGCCCTTCTTCTCCCTTGCCGAAGAGGGATGCTACCCCCTCGTTCTGGCTCAAAGGATGCCGCACCGTCGAGCGAGAGATGTGGATGTCCATGAGAGTGACAATGGATTCTGTTTGAGGAGACTCGATCGGGGTCTAGATAGTTTGCCCGGCCGACGATCTATGCGTGCTCCAGTGTTACTAATAAACCAGGACATGGAGCACGGACAGCAGACAGCTTGATCTCAGTACTGCCGGCGAGAAAACGATCGACTTGTACTCCCACTACTCCGTAGTTAAAACCGGAGTTAATGTCCATTTAATCCCAAGATGAGGAAAATCACCAGACTAACAGTACCACATCAGTCAAAAATTGAAATGAAGGATCTTCTTCTCAGTCGTGACCACACTACTAGTACACTACACATAGTAACGTAGCAGTGAAAATTAACTCGAGAATGTCTACCTCTACCAGCTGCAGAGCTACTCAGTCCATGATGGCTTTCTTGCCAATGTAGCCTCCTCGATCGGTGCAGAACCACAAAGCGACTCACGTCACAAGTCACGAGTCGTCGCGCGCGTCCGTCCGTCCATGGACTCCACACCACTGTAGGAGAAGTAGAACTCAAAACGCCATGGGAGTACATTGCACGAATAAGTACATTTACCGGTGGCGGGATGTATCGGTGGGCTATCCACCATCCATCAGCTTTCTCAAGATGCATTCCGTTGACTTCGTATAAACTTGTAAATTGATTCTCTCTACTATACTAGTTGAATACAACTGACAAGACTGAACTGCATGTCTTTTTCAGCCTTTTTACAGAGGAGAGAGAGAGTTAGAGTGGAGACGAACGACGCATGCATGCAGTCCCTATTCCCATACATCTCACATGGATTAATTTTCATCCTCATAATTTTCAATACTTGATATGTTTCGAAACAAATGTTCATTTTTGAAACTTTTTATATATTCGAATATTTGGTGACAAGGCCTTCAAAACAAGATCAATCTTGGATATATTTAAACTACTTTTTATTTTACATATTTCAATTATCTTTCAAATAACTTTCATAAAACATAAGAATGTTTCGGTATTTCATAAAAAATATTTCAATTTTTGAACTAATTTCAGAAAACTAATTTGAATATTTTTGAATAAGTAATATTCCCAAAATGTTTCACTCATTTCAAAGAATATAGTTTCAGCCGTTTCAATATAAGTATTTCACAAATTTGAAAAAACACATTGCACCGATTTGAAAAACTAATTTCACTCATTACAAACTAGTATGTCTCAAAAACTAATTCCACTTCTTATTTACAAAAAGAAATAGAAATGTATTTCACTCAGTAGAAAAATCAGTTTCGACCATTGAAAAAAGCTGTTTCGCACCAAAAAGATTTATTCCACTTTTTTGAAACAACTTATTTCGCTCATTTCGGAAAACACATTACACTAGCTCAATTGAAAAGCTATATTTCACTTGTTCCAAAAAACAGATTGCAAAATATATCTCATTACAAAATATATCTCAAAGAATATAATTCCACTCATTTCAAAGAATATTTGAAGAAAAGCATTTCATTGAATTGGAGAACAGTTTTTACTCACTACAAAACATATCTCAAAAAGTACTTTTACTGTTTCACTTATATCAAAGAATATAATTCCACTCATTCCAAAATCAGTATTTCACTAGTTTGAAAAAACACATTTCACTGATTTGGAAAACTGATTAACTCTTTACAAAGAAAATCTCTAATACTAATTTCACTTCGTATTGATGAAATATCTTGAAACATATTTCCAAAACCTATTTCACACAATCCAAAAAGTTATGAATTGAAAAAACAATTTCACTTGCTTCATGAAACAGATTCCACTCATTTATAAAAATACAATTTCACTTATTTCAAAACAATGGTTTCACTGAATTAAAAAATACGTATTTCACTTATTTCAGAAACCTGATTTTAGTCATTTCAAAAAAAAAATCACTAGTGTCGCATCTTTGAAATAACTAGTTCACGTTGAAATATGTTTCATATGCATGATTGTTTTTCTTCAGAAAACGGTTTCAATCATTTCAATACCAATTACAATTATTTCAAATAAGTAAATTTGAAATGAGTGAAATTGAAAATTTGATATGATTGAAATAACAAAAATTAAATTAGTTTGAATATATTCAAGATTGGTCTTGTTCTAAAGATCATATGTTCAGGAATTTGAATACATAAGAAATTTCAGTGATAAATCATTACTGTTGAACATATTGGGCATCTAAAATTTTAAACAAAGAGAAAATGTACGAAAACACTAACGCCCACACGTGTGGGCGTCTGGCAACTCGCCCACATGCATGGATCCTCGTCCAACCAATTCTGCACGAATCTTGGCGCGTTCTAGCAGTTTTTGTGTGCCACGTAGGACTAAGCTGGTGTGTGGGCATTCATCCGGTCGCCCACACGTCCTTTTTCATCACACGGGGGGTTCGTGTGTGGGCGTTTAGCAATTCGCCCATACACCAGTTTTCACGCACGCAGAGGGGGCTGGGGTGTGGGCGTTTATCACTTCGCCCACACGCTTGTCTACTGATAGAGGCGAGGGTCCCGATCTTTCGATGAGATGATAACTATCGATTTGGTGGAGCCGACTTTGACGATCCAACTACAAACGTGCACGCCGTTGCGCCTTAGCAACCGCTAAACCAACTCCGAGAGGTTATTGACCCCGCCAGAGCACGATCAACCTGACCACGAAGGTCTATTCCTGCAAGCAA